TGCGTGTATCTCATATGTATATGTTAGAACTAGATGAACACTTAGGTTCACTTTAATTTATTTTGTTTCTCATGTGTCTCACTTGTAGAAACGTAATTTCATTTGGACGTGCTGTGTGGGATAGAGTTGGTAAAATATACGAGGTACCGCAATAAGTTAAATATAAAAGTTATAGGGTTTTTAAATGTTTATTGGTGAGTAATAAATTTAAGTATACAGGGTCGGTCATAAAGTCTTGGCACTTCAAAGTTTCATTTTTTTAAATGGAACCCCCTATATATTATTGCATATTTCAATTTTTCCTTCAATTCTAAGCAACATAGTACAAGCAACATAGCATAATTCTACAACATAGAGATACACATAATGTACTTCCGGTTCCGAGACTTTTAAAAATATCACTTAAACAATTCGATTTAATTAATTTAGATGTGTTCGGTTTCATTTAACGATGCCATTCTGCGAAAACTGTGGTTATAATATTTGACATTAGTTTTCAAGTTAGCATTTTTGTTTAGGTGTATAAAATGAGATTATATCAAGTCTGGAAATTGCAAAATTTTCGTTTATTTCAAAACCAAAACTCGATATCTTGGAAACGGTTGGATTTAAGTACATCATGTGTATTACAATTTTTGCTTAAAATTGAAGGAATAATTAAAATACCTAATAATATACAGGGGGTTCCATTAAAAAAAAATCTTTGAGGTGCCACGATTTTTTGATCGACTCTGTATATTTAAATTTATTACTCGCCAATATACATTTAAAAACCCTATAACTTTTGTATTTAACTTTTTGCGGAACCTCGTATACATTGCCGAATAATTGACCGCTTCCATACCAACACTGCATATTTCGTATGAGGGTGCAGCCACACTATCCTAAAAACGGCGTATCGGCGTAACGGCGTAATGACCTTGAATAGATTTCCAGTAATTCTTTTGGCTGAAACATTCATCTGTCAGAAATTTTATCTGTCAAATTCATCTGTCAAAAATTTCAGCCAATAGAATTACTGGAAATCTATTCAAGGTCATTACGCCGTTACGCCGATACGCCGTTTTTAGGATAGTGTGGCTGCACCCTGAGAAGCTCACTAATACCACAGATTAGGTATCCTATAAGTATACAGATAAAAATCTTGTCCCTAATTCGTGGTATGAAAATTGTTTTTCATGACGATGTGCAAACGAGTCAAATTTCATGTGCGCAAAAATAAACTCGCGTAAAATAACAATAAACAGCGTAATAGAGAGATATCGTTAAACCGAATAGCTTGCATGGACGTTAATAAGGCGCCAGGTGTTATTTCCTTTACGTGAGGTGGTATTAACTCTCTTCATTTATAGTTATCGGATCGGAAAGAATTCTGATCGCGTCGCGTCCGCTATTTAAACTTAACCTAACTTTGAATTTAAAACTTTGAAATTGTTTTGTTTACTAGGTATTTTAAAACTAAAGGGCTAAAGTGCTTATTTCCAGTGCTTTATTGTTCAACGTCTGCTTATGGGTTTAGGGCAACAAGCAACAAATTCTCTTAGAAGGGCTAAGTCGTCATCTGCTGTAAACCTAAGACTCTTTATAGTATTGGAAGAGGTGGAATCCATATTTTGGGCCATATTTAAACTAAAGCAATAATTCAAACATAACCTAAAATAAAAGATCTCGCCGGCCGGCTCCGGTTGTTAAATACCCGCACATGCCCATTTAAGTAATTTTTAAACGTTATCAGAGGTTATTTAGAAAGAGCGCTTGGTGTAATTGATCCGCAAATTACGTCAGGCGGTAACGTTATTAGCGGGTGTTGCGTTGACTTGCGTATATCGTAACCATGATAAGGTACGCGTAAATACTGGATGACGCTATTCGGTTTTCCGATATCTCTCTAATAACTGTGCCGGTCAGGCGCTGTGCACAATTTTAGAGGCCATAAGTGGGCGTGCTATGTGCACAAACTAGTCACCTAACTAGTGCCCGATTCCGAAAATTGGAACCACGAAAAACAATAAAGAAAAAACAAAGATCATAATCTGTATAATCTGTGCTAATACTAAATAAACTTAAAACAAATAAGTCTGTATAAAAGCAAAAGACTTAGTAATAATAAGCGAAAAGGGCTAGATTCCAATTTTAGAGGATTTGGTTTAAGACACCATTTCTTATAGTAAGAGTGCAGAGTTTCAAGATCTTCAGTTAACTGGGCACTACCGAAATCTAATGACTGATGTTGTACAGCCAGAGCCAAATGATCTGCGTTAATAAATTTACGAGCAGAGGTAGTAGGAATATCATCTATGTAAATGTTAAATAATTATGGAGCAAGTACCGACCCTTGAAGGAGACCATTATTGAGTGTTCGTGAAGAGCTAAACTTGTCGTTGATATGAACTATTATTCTTCTACTGCTCAACAAGTTCTGTATAAGTTTCGTTATCTTCTTAACTGTTGCGGTTTGTATATTATTCTCCTTTTCCATACCGTTTTATATGCTGAAAATAAGTCTATAAAGGCACAGGCGGTATTTAACCTGTTTTGGAAACCGTGAAAAAAAATAACAGCAAAACTGCAACAGACTTGCATGGTTGGTCTTGGTTTTGTGGACGTGGACGCGTTTGGTCAAGTAGGCAAAATGCAAGAAAACCGCATACCAAAATCTCTGCTTTAGGGTGGGCTTATAGACGGTAAGAGAAGGCCGGGTGGACAACTCATAAGGTACAAGGATATTTTCCACGAAAACTTAAAGGGGATTAACATGCAGAATGAGTGGGAAGAAGCAGCTCACAATAGAACGCAATGGAGAAGAATTATAAACTCAGTTAAGAGCGACAACCAAAAAGTAAAGAGGCAACAAAGCAATGAGATTTTTGAATGTCCGGAGTGCGGTAGACAAATAACATCACGTATCGGGCGTTTCAGTCACAGAAAAGCTTATGAAAGAAAACGCCTTGATGCGTGTCAAATACTCGTCATGGCAGTATGCATGTATGTATGTATGGTTTTGTGGAAGTCTGACACTGGTTGTTCTTGGTCTTAGTCTTGCAGATCATACCTTAGTTTTAATCTTGGTCCTTGTGTAAGACGAATACTACTCTCGCTCATCACTAGTTTGGAAATGGACAGGGGCGGCTCGTAGCACTGGAAGATGGTGAGGCACATTAGAAGAGAATTTTTATTAGTATGTACTATATAGGGTGACCATTAGTACGAGGAAGTCCAATATCTTCGTAGTTGACAAATATATGAAAAAAAAGTTCTATATAAAAAAAATGCATATCCTAAAAAAATATTTTCTTTAAAATTGCAATCGCATTACCATTTTTCTGTACAGAATTGGGTTCAGCATAAAATTCAGCATACATCACACTATTGATTTATTTGAAGCACTATATATGCGGGATTTCCATGATAATTCATATTTGAAAAATTTAATTTTTTAAAAAGTGGTAAAAACCTGGAGTGAATTTAACTTATTGATATGTTATTGCTTAAGTATGTAAATAGCGAAGTTGGTAGGACAAAAGAAGAAATCCGAGAAAAATTCACATTATTTTATACAGGGATTTTTTTATGGCACGGCCAACATTGCAATATTATATTGCTATATCTCAATTTTTTAAACACTGTATATTGTATATTATTTTTAGTATTTTAGATACCTACAGACTTAAAAAACGCACATTTTTGTATTTAAAATATTTTTAAATTTTTAGCAGTTGCGGAAATAGCCTTATTTGTAATATAATTCGCAGTATTATACCGTATGATCGAATAAAAACGGCGTCAGCGATAGCTATGAAATGAAGATCGCTGTCATTATATGTAAAATTATATGGGAAATGTCATCGATCGTCATTTTCAAGCCAACTGGACGCCGTTTTTTTTCGATCATACGGTACCTATTACATAGGGCTATTGCAACAGTAAATTTTTATCAAAGCGACCTCAGGATATTTTGTCTTATATTTTACTCTGTATGGTAAAATTTTGTTTTTCTACCCATCCTATAAAATAAAACAAAATGAAATCTCTGTAACAGGTTGCTTTACTTTTTGACTATACGAGTACACAATTTATCTAGAAATAATTCGAATTCGAAAAACTTTACCTGGGGAAGTCCTCTGATGATGCATGGTCCCTCTAAATCATCATATCAATCAACAAGTCACTGCCCACTTTTTAAGTATTTACTTAATACGTTGTAATCAGTAAGACGAGTAATTAAACATACAATTCACTTTAAAAAACGTATATATTAATCAATTAGAGACAAAACAGTGCAATAACCGGCAGAGTTAATTCAAACTCTGATTCAAACTAATACAAATTAACAAATTCCCAAATAATGCAATTCTGCATTTTCAGCCTGTCGCCTAAAATCTCTCGGGCTGATCGGGAAGTGATACATATTTTTAACGAACGGCTTTTAAGGTTTAAATTTACATTTGAGGCTCGCCTCAATACGGTCTTTTTACGCGCTAATGCTCCATACATTTTATCTCTCTTCAACTAAAGGTTTTGTCTATGCTTTTTCTTTTCATTCTATATATTTAAGATTCCAGTGAACGCTGTCGCTCCGTCAATGCGATATACCACAATACGCTAGACAAGGAAAGGCGAGAGGCAAACCTCTGCACATATATTTCTTAAAGAACAAATGAGATGGATATACATCGTCGAGTTTGTCGCATATGGGAAAGGAATAGGAATACCATCGACGTAATTTATTGTAGAATGAGGGATAAAAAACAATTTTTATTGATGCAAATAGGAAAAAATAATTAAAATTGTGATTAAAGATGTATCGATTAATACGTGTAATTCTTCAAATGTATTGGTGAGGCACTGCCTCATCTGCCTCATTGGACAAGCCGCCCCTGGAAATGGATTATTAGTTATGTCATTAAACTACACATTTATGAACCATTTGACAAATAATAAAAATATTATCATGATTTACAATTTAGTAAGTTAAAGGATTACCCATTATCATTTTTTAGATCCTATGAATTCAAGAATCGCTCCTCCGGATACCGACCAAAGGGGTGGTGCTGGAACACCTTACACTCTCACCGATCAGCGTTTGTCAACGATTAGACAGATCTTTATGTATCCCTTTTACGATCAGGGTGGTAACGCCGACAACGAAGGAGATTACCAAAAGGAAATTCAGTCCTCATCACCACAGGTAAATTATGTAGCGCATTAAGTTTGATTCACTCTATACCTCCATATCCGCTACTTTCCGTTTCCTTTCCGTTTACGAAAAATATTATATCGTGTAAATATGAATAGGACAATGCACACTATCCGTTCCGATTCCGTACCGTTTTCATGGTTACGTTTAATGTGTGAAGTGTGAATACAATAAAATTATATGGAAGGTATATGTAACCAATATGGAAGATATAGGGAGAATCAACCTTTATACACTCACCGGCACGAAAAACGGACACCTTCACAATTTTCATATATTTTAAAGTTCAAAATATTTTGAACTATGTTTAGTTAGTCGTTTTAATGATATTTTAAACAATTTGCAGCTAAATTATTTGACTTTCTAGCCTCTTTTTATATTAGAAATTATTCTTATCATATGTCTGTTATACGAGGGAAAACAAAATGTGGTTATTTAGCCCAAAGCTTGAAACACGTTATGGAATGGTTTAACAAAGTAAACAATTGCAAATTATCTTTCCTGTATAGTTTTCCGATTCTTCTCAATATTTTTTTTTGGAGATATTGAAGATTCGTTTTGAAGAAACCAGTAATGATTAATAACAATTATAACATTGAAAACTTGACTTTAGTTCTTTGGTTCTGCTCAAACACCTATGAAATAGTGTTTATTGTTTTTATAATATCACTGTTATTGAAAGGTCATATTATTACTGCTTGCTGGCAGTTGGTCTAGTAGAGATGGTTTTAAGTCCAGAAGTTGACTTCTACCATGTTCAATTAGACCTAAAAATAGCTGATGAAACTTAATACTCTCTCTGCTAAAGTAACTGCCAACAAATTATACCGGATGCATCTCAAAAGAGCACCCCTATAACTTTTTATTTTTTTTTGTTAAAAAAAACGGGATTTGGTGTGTTAGTATATGACATAAATTAGGATTGATTGACGTATTCAATTGTTTTCGGTCACTTCCTGTTTCACCGGAAATGACTACAATTTTTGATTTTTAAATGGCACCCTCGGTATTTTTTTATTTTATTCGATAGAAAATGTCACTCTGAATAGAATGACATATCATATGTCAACTTTTGACATTTTCGCGTATGGTTTATTTGAAATTATAATTTACGGTTCGTAAAGAAAATTTGACTTGAAATACTAAGTGTGTGGTATTAAATTATTCGTAAAAAAATGCTTTTTCCATATATGCTAATTAGCAACCCTTGTTCCATTTGAAAAAATTGAGATATGATTAAAAATACGATTTGAGCAATTTCTAACTGGCCAGGACAAGACACTAAAAGCATTAGACGATCAAATATATTTCTCCAAGGCTCCTTGATGAAGAATTAGTGTTTTTAACATAGCCATCGGCACTCTAGATTGAATTTTAAAATACAATTTTTTATTAAGCAAGGATTTCAAAAGTTGACAAATGATATGTCATTCTTTCAGAATGTCATTTTCTGTAGAATAAAGTAAAAAAATACCGAGAGTGCCATTTAAAAATCAAAAGTTGCAGTCATTTCCGGTGAAACAGGAAGTGACCAAAGACGATTGAATACACCAATCAATCCTAATTTATGTCATATACTAACATACCAAAACTCGTTTTTTTTCTGAAAAAATAAAGAAGTTATAGGGGTGAGCCACTTTTAAGACGCACCCGGTATATAATAATAAATAATGTACCTATAATAATAATGTAACTTTTCAATGACAGTGATATTTCAAAATCAATAAAAGCTATATCATAGGTGTGTTGATTAGTATGGCTAAAAGTAAATGTATGCTTTTAATGCTATAGTTGTTGTTTTTTTTTCAAAAGCGAATATCTCCGACGAAAATAGAGTTATAGAGATGAATCAAAAAACCTAAACCATCGAGAAAAAGTGCATCTTTTAACATTTCTTATCTTGGTAACTATTCCACTCGCTTTCATCAAAATAACATTTTGTTATTTTTCTTGTATAATTGACAGATGGAGACAATACTTTTTAATTTAGAGCCTAAAAAGTCAAATAACTCTGCTACAAATTGCTTAAAAATTCATTAAAATCAGTCCACTTGAACAAAATATATTGATTTTTTTTTCAAATCTTTGAAACTTTTAACGTGCCTGTTTTTCATTGCGGTCATTGTACAATTTTTGTTTTTATTTCTAAACAAAATTGTAATTATTATATCAGTAAAAAATCCTTAAAGTATTTGAGAATGATTTTATCTTTCACTAATACTCCCTAAACTCCTGTTATTGTTGTACCAAACCTTCCTCTCATTCTTTCTTTGCGTTAAAGCACTTCCAGCTCTTTGCAAAGTTCCCGATGTCGCTGATGTTGGCTTCTGCTGCTTCCTCTAGTCCCTCCAAAAAACCTTGCCCTAAAGTTTTAAAGCGTCGGTATTCCAGTGCCGGATAGTGGCACAGCAGGTGCTCAATGGTTTCTTCTTCCTCTCCGCACTCTCTGCAGTAGTCGTCGTTGGAAACTTTCCATCTCACGAGGTTTACCCCCGTGGGACAGTTTCCAGTGACGACACCTACAATTATGCGTACAAGGTCCTTTTTGTGCTCTAGTAAACTTATATTTAAACTATGTAAAATTCACAATATTAAGTATTCTTTTTTTTTGTTTTAGGTTCACAAAAACTTGAATTTCCAACTGCCATTTTTCGGATTCAGATTCAACTACACTAGAGTTTCCTTGAATGGTTATTTGGAGTTCAGCGATCCACCCCCAAATTACGACTACCCCCTAGTATTCCCTACGCGAGATTGGCCCAAAAAGAACGATCCATCTTTTATTGGAGTATTTTTCAGCAAGTGCAGAATAGGTAAAGCCATTCATAATAAAAAAAATACGTCTAAAAAGGGATGCTATTAATATGTGCGTATTTTTTTGCTTTAAGAGTCCATTACGATGTACTGTTCGGGTCGGGTAAAGCGGGTGTCTGGCGGTGTCTGTGAAGGAAATATATATTATATATCAGAAATCTGCCTAAGGCTTAGCCCGATCCTGTCGTGTTAAGCCACACCCAAAATTCCAAACATACGTTCTATGATTAAAGGATGATTCACAGTACACCGGACCGTGCCCGTGCCGGGCACGTTCCGTGAGGTAGACACCGAGCCACGTCCGATCCTTCTGTATATGCAACACCGAGTTGATAACGGGGTTCGTATTAGTTCCGCGAGTATATTAGAAAACACAGCCCCATAGACACACGAAGATTTAATACGAACAATGCCAAAGTTCTCGCAGTTGGAATTGTTACCAATTGCAGTTGATGAATAAAGAACAACACCTGCAGGGGAAACACCTGCTCAAAGGAAAAGATGAAGGATCTATCTTGTTCATTACATCCTTTCATTGTTCAGTTTTACGCATACCCTGTCGTCAAATACTGCTGTCCTACTCAGACATGATAAAAAGTGTAAAAGGCCGAGCACGATCCGAGCTTCGCCGGAACTCGTCCGTGCCCCGTCCCAGAAATGTCGGCGTACATTTTTTTCTCGGATCCGCTCCGTTCCCGCCACGTTGCGGAAAGCATGAATGTACTTTTCCTGGTGCCCCGACTGCAATCTGCAGTCATGATATAAACAAAATACACTTTTCATCATGTCTGTAGTAAGTATTAGTGAATCTTACAGCAGTATTTGACGACAGGGTATGCGTAAAACTGGACAATGAAAGGATGTAATGAACAAGATAGATTTTTCATCTTTTCCTTTGAGCAGGTGTTTCCCCTGCAGGTGTTGTTCTTTATTCATCAACTGCAATTGGTACCAATTCCAATTACGAGAACTTTGGCATTGTTCGTATTAAATCTTCGTGTGTCTATGGGGCTGTGTTTTCTAATATACTCGGAACTAATACGAACCCCGTTATCAACTCGGTGTTGCATATACAGAACGATCGGACGTGGCTCGGTGTCTACTTCACGGAACGTGCCCGGCTCGGGCGCGGTTCGGTGTACTGTGAATCATCCTTTAGGCTTGATTACGGTTTGCAGAGCTTCAGAATTTGTCATAAAATAGCGAGCAATTTGTTACAAAACCATATAAATTATATATCACTGTAATGACAAAACTTTAATCTATTTCCATATGGTAACGGAATTTTAAATTATGTCTTTATTTTCGAGAAAATTTAGTCCAAACATAAGGAATATTTTGTTGATGTTTGACCATCAAAATCTTAAAAATAAAGAAGTTGTCTAAAAATGTGCTACAATACGGATATAGTATAATCCTTTATCTTTAATTTCCTTCTTCATTTGTGTAAAAATACCTAGTCAGTTTTACATAAAACGTTAAATGCCGAACGCTTATTTTGCTACTTTTTCGAACTAGTAAAATTGACTCTTAAGACGAATTTAAATATAAATTATTCAAATATTAAACATGTAATCTACAGTATATTAATAATTTCAAATTTTTAACCAATGGTACATAGGTGACTTGAGAGATGGTGATATTGATCCACGAAAACCAGGAGTCTACTTTAGAATGGAAAGAGATTTGAGACAACGAAACGATCAGATGGGAGTGGAAATCAGAGAGAGATTGAAGTGGGACATTAGAGAAGGTGTGATTGGTTCTGAGACGTTTGATCCTAAACATGCCATCATTATAACCTGGAAGAACGTGTCATTCAATGGCGGATTTGCCAATGCTAAATATAGGGTAACTAAGTAGTTATAGTATTTAACGTAATTATAACATTTCTAAATTAGATGAGATTTTATTAAATAGCTAGAGGTTTATTCCACTGCAACTTTTTCAGATCTATTGCAAACTAGACAGACCTTTCTATCTATGGTTAAACAAAAATAAATAAATTATAAATATATAAACAGTTATTATTTAAATCTACAAAACTCACCATCTTAACAGCACTTAAGGGACATAAAGGGCCATTACTACCGCTTTCCTGTTCAAAATGTTCTTATAAAGTCGATGAGTTTTTTACGGCGATTAAGCTATCTCGCATACTTCGCATTAAAAGAGGTTTTAAAAAGAACATTGTTCGACTGCAAGGTTTGATAGTAAAAATTTTTAAGCTTAACGTTTCACAACAATTTGGTTTAAATAAATTATTTTAACATTATCGAGGCTAGACTGAGGGAAGACACAACATTTTCCGCAAGAATCTCGCCACCTCATAGACTCGCTCTTGGAGGAGTCATGGAGTTCTTGAGATGCCGTTTGAATTAGTGATGGGTATTACGATTCTTTTTAGTGAATCGAATCACACGATTCAAGTTCTCATATTGAATCGACTCTTACGATTCGTTCATTTGAACGAACCACATGCGCAATTTACGTTTCATAAAAACAAGAATCGTAACACTACCGGCGATAATTTGGTAGAACAATTACTTAAGGGACCAGAAAAAACAAATATACCGTTCTTTCATTTGTTTTTCAACACTTTATGACAATGGCGTAATTGGATTGATTATTTTACCTAATATTAAATTATCAAGCCAATTTCTATACCTATATACTATTTATTATAGACTTCTTAATACCAATTTAATATTTTTAGTTAATAATTGTAATCAAGATGTAATAGTAATTATAATCAAGATATTATATAATAATGTTGATCTATTAGGCAGAAACCTGTCGTTGGAAGTGAAGAAAATGAATTTGCCTTAATTGGTTCTTTTGTAAAAAATCCAATATGTAATTATTTTTATTTACCATTAATTATAAGTCATCGCAATATAAATCAAAGAACTACTTCTTTATCATCGATTTTGATTTGAAAATAGCTCCTAACTGTTACTAGCAAATTGTCATGGCGACACCAGCCATCTTGATTGTCATTTTATTGAAAAATCGTTTTTTATTCAAAAAATAGAGGGTGTTGCATTTGAAATAACGAAGTTTTCATGTAAAATAAGTATTTAAAATAAACCAGCAATTTTTGGTACCCCTGTATACATTTAAGGAAGAAACCAATTTTTTTTGTAAAGTTTATTTCTCTAGATTGAAAGTCAGCACAAGAGTTAATTCTGAAAAGTAATCTACAAGGTGTTGACAAACTTTTTTATTATAGCATGCGTATTTAAATATCTTTAAATACCTCAAAAACAAAATCTTTTAGATATATTAAACCCTTCTAATAAATGCCTTATTTTATACCCAACAATCAAAAAATTAAATAAAATACCGGGTGTTCCATAAGAAAAAATATAACTTTGGTATGGATCTTAGTTCTGACACACCCTGTACATTTGAAAATAATTTTAAAGTATGCACATTGTCTCTCTACATATACCCATAAAAAAATTGTTTCTACATCTTTCCGGTTTCCTATAATCAACCGAGGCGAATGAGGTGCGCCACCCTGTATATCTAGCCCTAAAATTAATATCTAAAAAACCGTTCACCTAACGTTCAAATGAACGACTCCTTCAATCTATACCCACCTCTAGTTTGAATGCCTTTGCATTAGTATATAAGCTTAGTAGTTCTAAGATTTAGATTAGTCTATACTTTATATCGGTCAGTGGAAGACAATGTAAGTCGAAATTCTTTTAGTGTCAAAATATCCATTTTTTTGTAAAATAAATGTTTTGGGTTTTGAATAATAAATATATATTTCTTAAAAATGAATCCCTTTCTAGACAAACACCTTTCAAGCTGTTCTTGCTACCGACGAAGTCTACACATACGCCATGTTTAATTACCTTAACCTCGCCTGGACTAGTCACACTGAAGCTGGTGGAGATACAATAACTGGAGAAGGAGGTGTTCCAGCTTACATTGGATTCAATGCCGGTAAACAACTCAAGTAAAATTATGTTAAAACGGGTTTTTTATTTTTTTTTGTTAACAAAGGTAACGGAACTAGAAATTGGGAGTACAGTCCATACAGTCAAGCGTCAGTTTTGAGAGATCTTACAGCCACAGGTTTTGCAAATGGTTTTCCAGGAAGACACTTATTTAGGATTGATGAAAACATTCTTGTGGGAACTTGTAACAAGGATATAGGTAAATTAATATTGATAATGCGGAATTAAAATCATTGCGAATTAGAAATTTCAATTAAAATTTCCTATTGTAAATTGTAAATTATGATATACTAGCGTGTACCAGCGACTTCGTTCGCGTCGAATTAATCATTTGTAATGGTGATGATAAAGCAAAGCAAGAATTTCCATTAACATACAAACTGGATAAAATTTTCTCACATTTATGTCAGCATGAGAAAAAACAATATGGCGATATTATTATATAACTTATTAATATTTGAGGGGTAGTTTCATCTCGTTGGAATTTGACTTTCGAAAAATCCGTTTGCCAAAAATAAGCTTTTTACGTCAAGCAGTTTAAGCAGAATCGTGGTTAAGAAATTACCCAACTATTTGGAACACCCTGTATGAGTTTTTAAAAAATTTCAAAATATAATAACAAATATTGTAATATTTGATGGGCGTTTTCACCCTCTTGGAATTTGAGATTCGAGAAACCCCTCCTTATCGAATCTCTACACACCACAGTCAATCCGTTTGCCAAAAATCAGCTTTAAACGTCAAGCAGTTTAAGCAGAATCGTCATTACTCAATGATCATATTTTATGAAACACCCTGTATAAATTTATAAAAAATCTTAAAATAGGTAAAACAACAAAATAAAATATACGTGTTTAAGAGTTTTAAAATTTTAATATTTGAGGGATAGTTTCACCCCCTTAGAATTCGAGTTTCGAAAAATCCTTTCTTATCGAACCTCTACACCCTAAAGTCAATCTGTTTTCCAAAAATCAGCTTTTTACGTCAAGCGCTTTAAGCAGGATCGTGATTAATCAATGACCAGATTTTTCGAAACACCCTGTATATATTTCTAAAAAATCTTAAAATATATAAAAAAAAACCAAAATAAAAAATACGTGTTTAAGCGTTTTTTCGGAAACTTGACCGTTTTTTAAATAAAAAATATTGTAATATTTGAGGGGTGGTTTCACCCTCTTGGAACTGAACTTTCGAAAATCCCTTCTTATCGAACCTCTACACCCTAGAATCAACCTGTATGCCAAAATTGAGCTTCTTACGTTGAGTGGTTTGAGCAGGATCGTGATTAATCAGTATGTCAGTCACTTAAGGATTTTATATATTAGTATAGATTTAAAAAAAATGATTTTTTTGCTAAAATTTTGCGAACCACTGGATATTTTCTGGATTTTCTTTGTTGTAAATTTAATCTAATACCTGTGTTGCCATATTATCAAGAAAATATGTTTTTTAATAAGAAACTTTTTTTCTTTCGCGATTTTTTTTTTCGCGAAAAAAGCCGCATAGTCGTGTTTCTGGAGTTGACCTATACAGGACACCCTGTATATTTAATTGTCAAAATAAAACATAAATCACTATAGTATACCAAAACACTTTTACTTTAGCATCATCAGCAGGTGATCAAGAGTTCAGTCTTGATCATGACTGATGATGCTAACATGGTTAGCGAAACGCGCGTCCATTGTGAAAGTAAAAGTGTTTTGGTGTATTGTGGTGATTTAGTGTTTCATTTTGCTGTGTTACCAAAGGTTCCAACCCCCAACTGTAATATTTATTTGTGTTTATAATACAGACTGAGTCTTAAATAACTGCAAATATTTTTAGGGCTGGTATATTTCGAGCCCAAAAACAAGTCTATAATGGTTAGTTGGTTGGTTTAGTTAAGTAAGGGTTAGTTTAGTTGGTTAAAAAAATATTGAAAAGTTTGTACTTAATGTCAACGTTTCAACGAAATTTTTAAATTTTCAGTTAAATTCATATTTTTAAAGTAAAATAACTCGAATATTTTGGACTTATTTGAAAAACAGCAAGAGAAAATACAGACAAAAACCAGGCTACTAGTAACATAGCAAGTTGCCGGACGAATTTACATTTACCCGATTTGCGTTCGTACTAGAGATTCACTGCCGGCTAGTCGGCTGGTCAGGTAGTGGTCGAGAACTATCGATAGTCCCCACCATCGATAATTATCGATAGTCGGTCCTTTGACCATCGATTATTATCGATAGTTTTCGATAGTCATAATAATTAGTGAGTTTACCAGTTTTTAGGTTATTTTTTAAATAAATTATGTTTTGTGGGAGATCATTGACGTAAAAAACTACCCCAGACTCTTTAAATAACATTTTAATATTAAATCATCGCCTGCAAATGGATTGGACACATTACACATCACATACGTTTTTTTTATATTTTGATTTATGTTTATTATTGTTTATCACATATAAATTAAATTGCAAAATGCAAAGCAAAAATGCCAGATTAGGTCCAAAACACGTCCAAAATTCCGTTGGCCGTAAGCTTGAAGTTGACGTTTGACGTTAAAGTTGACACTTGACAGTTAACGTTGACAGTGTTGACACGACATTTGATAATTTTGACAATAATGACATATTGCGGATTGACTAACTGCTCCGAAAACTCGTTTAAAAGAAGATTCTTATTTATTTTCAGCCTATGTTAAAGAACCGATTGGTTGTGATAAAAAGAATTAAACCTGAATGTCTTTTCTTTATTGAAACTGGTAAATAGTAATAAAGACATAATTATCGAAAACTATCGATGGTCAGAAATGTAATATCGATAGTTTTCGATAGTATAAACTATCGATAAATATCGATAGGCTATCGATAGTTCTCGACCACTATGGTCAGGCAGTACGCAGTTGCAGTTGTGCTTGGACGGGTCGGTCGTGACACTAGGAATATGACGCGAGGAGTGCCGAGTATTTATTATTTTTATTTTAAGTGTTTACCTTCACTTAAGGTAACATTTAAAATAAAAATACTTAAATATTTATTATTTGAGTGTGTTTACAAGCCAAAATTAAAAATAAATAAATTCTCTAAACCCGAAAAAAACTAAAATATTACTGTAAATAAATAAAAGTTATAACAAGTGTTCAAAAAGACCACCTTCTTATGCTAGATAGAAGCCTAGGCGGTCGTAAAATTCCCGTCTGACATTGGCTAACATATTAGGGCTAATAGTTTGGAAAGCCTCTCATATTTTTACTTGAAGCTCATCCAGATTATTAGCCCTATTATGACCATAACCTTAGATTTTACATAATCCTTCAAAAAGAAATCATTGGGAGAAAGATCTGGTGATCTAGCGGGCCACAAAATAGTTCCATGTTCACTAATTAGACGGTTGGGAAAAGTATTGTTCAAATATTCTTGAACAATACGGGTATTGTGGGCAGGGCAACCATATTGTTGAAACCAGACATTGTGGAATCTTTCTCCCTATAACTCACGAATTCTAGCGACAATCTGCTGCTGTAACAAGTCCAAATACTTTGCAATAGTTAAATTACCCTTTATAAAAAATGGACCAATCATATGCTCCCCTACAAAAACCACCCCAAACACTTGCTTTAACTCCTGTTCTGCATTAATCAACACATCAGGCATTTTGTGTTTTGTGCGGACACGCACCCATGTGTTTCAAAATTATTAATAACTCTTGATATAGTAGGTAAAGATGGAATTGGCCTGTTTACAAAAGTTTGAGGAAAAATTGTTTGTATATCCCGATAAGACCTATTTTGTAAATACCATTTTACAATTTACAATTTGAATTTTTCACGAACTTCGTAAACATCCATTATTTTACTTAAAAAATAAATTTTACACGAGAGCTGTAGCGAGAATCTATAATAAATATCTAATCTAAATTTGTTTTGGCTATTAAAACACGAATAAATACAAATTCTGAAACATTCTTATCACATATCTACCTATTTTTATTTTATCGCATTTTTTCGCCTGCTTTTTATCCGGCGGACGGGTATACGCTAATTCGTCCGGTTCTGCCTATGTTACTACTACGGTGGTCCGGTCTGTATATTTCTTTTATCGGGGCCCTGAAAATATTACATCTGTACCTACTTATTTAAGACTCACCTTGTATTTATTTGTTCATCATTTGCGAATCGTTTGCGAATATTCGCATCTGCATTCGTATTCGAATGTTTAAAAATTTGATATTCGTTACATCACTAATCAATAATAGGCACATCTATGAAAGGTATTTGTACATTATTCATTTTCTAGATGGAGCAAATTTACCTCTAATGTTTGCTCCCGAGTCTGGAAACATGTTGGGAGGAACTGTAGTCAACATCACTGGACCATGTTTCAATCCTTCCGATCAGGTTCTTTGCAAGTTTGATGTGGCTGACGTGGTTTATGGTGTAGTAGTCAGTAGAAACAGAGCTATTTGCATTCAGCCACCTTTAATGGTAGAAGGTTACGTTAGGCTTGAAATTGCTATTGGACCTGGAACTTATAAATGGAAAGGGAGATACTATGTTGGTAAGTGATACCTTGATTGGGGATATCATATCACCCACAACGATGCTTTCTAAACATTTCTAGTACTTTGTGCCAAAGAGAATTAGATACTCATAAAAAGTACTTGATTTTATAGTTGATTTTTTATGAATATTGCTCAATCTAAGCAAATTTCAAATGAACCAATCAACAATAAAAGAATTAAAAAAATCAAAACTTAATTTTTTGTAAATGTTGTAACAAATGTATTTTTTTAGTCTTCATATTTAAATTGATTATTAATAAATATTTCTAACAAAATGATTTCTAATAATGTATTTTTTATAGAAAATCCTGCTAGTGCAGCCCAGAAAATTTACTTCAAAGATATGAAGGTCCATGACAAATCACCTGCAGAAATCAAAATAACATGGGAAAAGTACAATTTAACTACCAACGATAACGCAAATATTAGGATATCATTATGGGGTTACAGAGAAACAACTATTCGTCCTGCATTTTTGTATATTACAGGTAATCTTTAAAATCAATTATATTATATTATCATCATATTCTATTATCATCAGTTATTATCATATTATCAGAAAAACTATACATGTGAAACTTATCTACAATACAATTATTATTATAATAGAGGTATTAAAATAGTTTAACCAGTCTTATTATTAGTTACGCAGGTAAATTGGAATTAAATGCAAAAAATATATTCTCATTCAAACATACTTATTATATTTGGTTTAGTCAGAAAGTATACACTTTTGACAAACATTTAATGTCATATGTTATTTTTACCTACCAGAATAAACAAAGTATACCAAATATACTATTATGAAATTTTACTACCTACTTTTAGATATAGCAAGCAACGTCCAGAATACAGGAGAGTATACCATTGTGCCATCACAATATAGAAATAGAGAAAACACTTTCCTAACAGACATCAAGTTCGGTTTCATTCAAATAAATTTGACAGATACTATCCCAGTTCAGTCTGATTATAACAGCGCTGCACAATCGGTAGAAATCAATCCAGTAGTATGGAGTAGGTAAGTCTATAGTTCATATCAAATAAACTTTTAGTCACGTGATTAAGCTTGACCGGCACAGCGTTGCCCACCTTTACATATTTTCTTTTAATCAAAATATTTTAGGAAACAAAAATAAATTAAATATAAATATATAAACAGTTATTATTTACATCAACCAAACTCACCTTTTAACAGCACTTAAGGAACGTAAAGGGTCATTACTACCGCTTTGCCGTTCAAACTATTCTAATAAAGTTGCGATGAGTTTCTTACGGCTATTAAGTAATCTTGTACAATTCGCACTAAAAGAGGTTCTAAAAAGAACAATGTTCGACTGCAAAGTCTGCTAATAAACATTTTTAAGTTTAAAATATCATAACACTATTTATTTAAATTAAAAACTCGTAATACAAAACTAAAGTGTCAAAACGTATGATAATGTCAGAAAATAAATAAATAAATGTGGCAACTTGATATTATTTAGAGCAGAGCTACCACCTGAATTTCCAGCGCGAAATTTAAATTCCCGTTAGCCAGCCCGGCGCGGCGCACAGAGGTCATTTTGTTAATTCTAGGGGGAAATAAATATATGGTATTCAATATCTTGGCAGTTTAATCAAATTAAATACTTTGAAGTACATATTTTTACTAAATGTCAATAACTAATGTTGAACAAGTGCATAGAACAGAAGACATAGGATAAATACTAGTAGAAGTTTAACAGGACTAAAATTAGATTTAACAAGAATATTATATTACAGGTATCTAATTATTTATACATTTTGTCTGGAAACAACCTCAACAAACTTATTAAAGAGATAATTCTATATGGTAAAATAATGCTAGTATGTCGAAATTTTAATGATTTGCCATTGGCAACTGACTGAACTATTTGGAAATAAAATTGGTTTTCTGACTTAACAATAAATAACGTTTAACATAAAATTAAATTTGCCAAACTGTCTTCTTGTCTAGAATATCCCTGTTTCTAAGTAGAATGTCTACCACTACCATCGCACCCCCACTTGTAAAAAATCTTGACATTTGAAAAATTGTGTTGAAAGAACGCTCTTCAAAAATGCTTGTTTGCACTTCAACAATTCTATTAACTGTATGATCAACAAGCTGCTGTAATTTCACCTCTTCAGCTGTATCCGAAACTGTGATAGAATTTTCATTAGGGATACATTTCTTCTTCGCTTCCAAAAGGATATTGTAGTTGGGATATATATTTGCATTTCTCATTTTAGCCCCTTGTTGAATCAGTATGTACGATTTATATTTTTATAAAGCAACTTATATTTTTGGAATTATTTCCTCTTAGTTTATTGAAAATGACCTCTGTGCGGCGCCGAATATGTTCATGGTTGGCAACAATGAATTCAAAAATCGCGTTCTCGATCCTCGATTCCGTAACTAAAAGTTTAATTGGTATCAAATAAATGTATAATATACCGTATAATAAAAAATAGCGTCAAGTTGGTTTGGAAGTGACGGTAGATGACATTCAGCTTGACACTATATAGATATCGTCATAAAAATAGCAGGTTGCCATAATCCTTCCATAATATATCACATCGTCGGCTTTATGACGAAAAGGCGTATCTCGATTTTTGCTACTTTTCAGGAGAGCAATTTAAAGAAAATCACTTACTTTATTCGGCCAATAAATGTAAAGTCTTTATTTTTTAATAGTGTTTTTGTATTAACACTTAAACGGAGACATTGAGGAAACGTTCTGAAAATAAATTAAGCGTAAATTCTAATAAATAATTTATTTTTAGTTGTTTAATAGGGATAGGCCTTTTTGTTATAATAATAATAAATTTATTTCCGAACGAATAGTATACATACGCCCATGTAAAATAAATTTAAAAATGATGGTAAAGTGTTCTTAATAAGGAAAAAAAATACAATATTCACATTATGGAATACGTACAAGAAAATGCAATACATACATACAGAAAAATCTGAAAATCACCAAAAAATCAGAAACAAATATTTCTAAATACTTTTATTCGCGTTGGATTAGATCAACTGAAAGCAAAGACAATTTTCATTCCAGAAGCAAAGACAATAATCAATTAAAATACGATCTAGCTTATTTTAATAATATTGTTTTTTTATACAAAAATACATTTTTTTAACTAATATATTTTTAGTAATTATTCAGTTAATTGACGGCATTAATACAAGGCATTTAAACTCACGGTCCATTTAATAAAAACCAAACTAAACAAAAACAAAACATGTTTCTTCATTCGTGTCTTTTTGATACAAATAACTGTGGACTCACAGTTTCTGTTTTCCCTGTTCAATGATAAGAGATTCGACTTCCATTCTACGTGTTTATGCAGGATGATGATAGGCACAATAAATAAAATTTTCCAAAAATTGACAGGGATGAAAATGCCAATGGCCTAACAATGATAATGAGATAAAAATTATTTTATTTTTCGGGCTTTTTTGTTTTTGGTTTGTTAAAATGTTCTTAGGGACATTATAATTTTGGGAATTTTTCCATTAAGGCAATTTTCGTTTCGTTGTTTTGCTTTCGATCAATTTTTCTTCGGCCATTTATTCTCGGACAATCTTTTGCATACCCAATACAGCTATGTGCAGAGCCTAGCTCATTCTAACAATGGTTTTTGGCAAAAAAACAGACTCAAAATCACACTGTAAAAGAGAGCTGCTGCCATGATAGAAGTTTTATTTTGTCCCAAGCAACCATCAGAATATAATTAGGTAGAATGGTGTGATTTTCTCTCGCATGCATTTTCATAACTTAAAACAAAAGGACCTATCTCAAATTCCATCTTTCTTGTAGTATAACAATTGGTATAACAATTGATATAACAAAGAGCCCTATCTCAACATACGTCTCTTCGTCATAACGAAGAATTGTAGTATTTGAGATGGGGCAAATTTTTAAACGAATATAAAATGAAAAAGGTACAATATTGATATGCGCAAATTCGCTATGTTAAAATATGACCCATTGGGCATGTCATGATGTTCATATCTCAAAATCGCCAAAAATCGAGATACGCCTTTTCGTCATAAAGCCGACGATATAGTATAAAAGTCGAAGGAAATTCTAGCAGATATTTTATAAATAAAGTTTTATTCAGAACCTCGCAATTAGTGGTTTCAATTACACTTTATACTTTTTAGTTTACGATCATACACAATGTTTAAAAAATACAAAAAATTAAAATTAATAGAATAGCGTAGCAACAGCTTGGGTTAGTCAGTTGTACTCATAGAGAATGCCTAATGTTTAGCTTATAAAACAATCACCTTTTGATTTCTAACCAAAATTTCTCTTGACGGAAGATAATTAAAGGCCAAAATGACATTTGTCGCATATTTTGAAATATAATTAATGGAAAAGTCAAAAGTTTGATAACTTTTTCTACTAATTGAAAATGTCTACCACTAATTTTGACGTTCTGAATGCTTATATTGAAATTAAAGGAACAGACTTCTACGCTAATTGACACCACTAATTGCAAGTTTCTGAATTAAGCTTGCTTAATGGTTGACATACATATACAGAGTGACCGAAAAAATGGCTTCCACTTGGCTTGGAAATGACGAATAGTTGACATTCTCCATGTAATGATAGCTATATTCATTTTCAAGCCATCCTTAACGCCGTTATTTTTTCGATCGTATGGCAGTACCGGTTATTGCTACTTATGTGTGTCTTTTTTATCATTCTAATTTAGGCCCATCCCTCTTGGTTGGTACTTCGGCTGGCAATGGGAAAGACTTTACGGAACAAACTGGCCAGAATACTTGTGCAACGATTGGCTGCGAACTGACAGATACTTGAAGAACTTCGCACACGAACTACCTCAGTGTCCGTGTACTTTGGAACAAGCGCTAGCAGACAAAGGCAAATACATGCCTGATTGGGATTGTGACAAAGATTCCAACCCCACTTGCTATTACAACAACCAAGCTGTACATTGTGTTAAAACTGGATCACCAACGTAAGTTATAATACATAGTTTGCTTTGAATAATTATACAGGGTGGTCGAACTGTATTCCGGAAACTTCGGCAGCATATTCTGCACATAAAAATATGTAAAAAGTTCGTATAAATGTATGTCTGAAAATGCTTGGTTTCGGAGATACAGGGTGTAGAAGTTTCATGTTTATTTCGATTTTTTACAAATAATTTCTGAAGTAACGTCAATATTTGGATGAAATTTGGAGTTTTTTACACGAGGAATTTGATTTTGATGTCAATATGACTTCTATTTGTAGGGGGCGCCACTTACATGTGTTTTAACTGTTTCTGAAAAGTAATAACTTTTCGTCCGTACCTGTATAACTACTGAGTGAAAAAATGTCTCTTGACTACGCTACGAGCAACCTTTCTCAAGTGAGAAGATGTTGTCATTATATTAAATTTTATAAGTTTATTAAACAACTTGATCGATAGCCCATACCTACTGCAACAGCTCAAATTAGTGGTGCCTAGGTTGGAGTCCAGGAATAATGTCACATTTTATATGCCTTTTCCTCGCACTAATATCGCATTAAGATCTCCTTTATATTCTATGTGTAAAAATTATATAATTCAATAAGCGCGAAATGTGATATTAGTGCTGATTCAGTGGATTCTGTGATTCGCCATCTTTGCGATCATTTTAGCTCAATATGCTAATTTTCTTTGTGTTCATATAATGTTTGGTATCAACTCTACTATCAATTTAAAATTGAGATATTCAGTACATGTCATTATTGACAAAAATAAACATGTTGAGTAGATTGTTGTTATACGACTAAAATGATAAATTTGGCAACTTTTTCATTTTTTGAAATTAGTCATAAATTTTTCTTCGAAAAATTATGATAAAACCGTTTTTAGTGAACAGATGACGTTTGATTAGATGAAGAACATTCACACTAATAGTGTAAATAACAATCAAATGCCTGTCGGTTTAATAAAGTATTTTCATTATTATTCTACTATATTATGCGTGTGATTTATTCTGTTTTAAATTGCAATATTTCCAGAAATTTGCAAATAAACTTACAAACAGTATTTCAAATAATGGCATAATATTTCTTGTAGATTGGAAGGTTCTGAGCAGCAATGTTGTTACGACAAAAACCACTACCTTATGCTTTCCTACGATCAGCAGTGGGGTTCAAGTCCAAGGCGTTGCCACAATTTAGGTCTCATGCCTTACCAAAGAAGCCCTGCAAAGGTACCCACGTTATCTCAATGGTTAACGATGTTGTTCCCAAGTACCTGTGCTGTTTATGGCAAGATGAACAAGCCGTGGGATGCGAAACATTGAGATTTGAAAGGAGACCTACTCAGGATTGCGTAGCATATCAAGCACCAGGTAATTTTTTGATAAACAATGTTGAGCGATTTTTTCTGTTCACAAAGTTGATGTAGGTTATTCTACATACAGGGTGTTTCAAAAAATATGTACCATCTCTCGTAAAGAGATTCCTCATGTAAAAATAAGATTTATTTTTCATATCAACATAGGTCCGATTATGCTTTGTTTCGTAGCTACAGGGTGTTAGAGTCTTAATAATTTTCATTATTCACAGACATCGGTCACCAATATATTCTGCAAAAAAAGTCGCTCGCTTCAGATCATAAGGATTTTTTGTCACAAGTGTATTATTTTTGTAATTTCAACGCCTAGACAAAAGTAAAGCACTTTTACGCCTAAGCACAAAAGTACAAAAAATATATTATTAAACTGATATTAAGCGTCAATTTCAACGAGTGTACAAATTGTTACTCGATTACTTACAAGGCATTACTTTTTATATTATTTGCAACGTTTGGAATTGATTAAAAAATTATTTGTAATGCTTAATTTGTAAAAATATAGTATATTCTACTCGGAGTAAATATGTACTTTTGTGCCTCCCTGTTTACGCTAGTCCGTCAAACGTACAACCTCGTCAAAAAAAATATAATCTTTATTCCTTAGACAATACACTATTGTTCGGAAATAGTCTTAAGTCGAGAATGAAATTAGTATTATCTATTGTCAAAGTGTAAAATAAAAAGATATAAAACAGCATATTTTCTGACAACGCTTTGAAGATATAGCATCAAAAGAACCTTTTTCTGCACTAGAGGTTGCGAATGAAATGTATTCGAATATCATTTTATTTGTCACTTGTACATAAATTTCAAAATAAATCCCTGCCCTTTAGAAGTCATGGATTCACACGAAATTACTTCAAAAATCGGTCGAACATTTTAATGGATAAATAGATATGTAGTAGGTATAATATGTGTTATACAAATCGTTTTTTATATAGTTTTATAACATTTACATTTTTTTTTCGATTTATTAAACGTATTTAAATGTTACAATAGCAAGTGTAACATTTTATTTAACGAATAGATATAGGGTATATCTGTTATAGAAATATTTTGTATATTTTTCTACGACACATTTTTATAACTTTTACAGTTATTTTTCGATTTATTGTAAAGTTTTAAAAAAGTTGATTTTTTGATTTAAATCACATGTTTAAAATTTAAAAAATCACTTGATTTAAATCATGATTTAAATCATTTTATTTAAATCATGCCAACCCTGTAAAAAAGTGTCGATAAATTTATCAGGGACGTGCATATGGGTTATAACTGGAATATTTAAAAAAAAACATGTGCGCCACTGACTTTTTTCTTTTGATATCAAAATTGTGCCGTTTAATACCAATTAAAAGTTATCTCTTGATATTTTGTCTAATTCAGCCTACTTGATGAGATAAACGCAATTTTATTAATCACAATTAATAAAATCAAAAAAAAAATTAATAAATTATGTATTTTTCTTAATTTATTATTAAATATTGATACAATTATTTATTATTACTATTAGTCCAACCTACAGCAATTTCAAATGACAAAATAATGGTATTTAAGATAATTACAAAAAACCTAATTTAAAAAAAAAATAACATCCTGTAACTCTAAAACTATGCACTTCCATACCCATAATATTTATAGGCACTTTTTTTCATATTTTTTGATGAGGAATCAATGAGTACTTATTTAAAACTTCGCGAGTTAATGATATTAATAAATTTTAAAGGTTAATAGCAACCTTGGATCAAAACAAATTAATAAAACTGCTTTTATCTTATCAAGGAGGCAGAAACCGACAAAATATCAAGAGACAACTTTTAATCGGCATTAAATTGCTTTCGCTAAGAAGCGAAAAAAGTCAGTGGCGTACATGCTTTTTTAGAAAAATATTCCAGTGATAACCCATATGGACGTCTCTGGTGAATATGTCTACACTTTTTTAGCTTTAAAATATGTCGCCTTTATAGTAACTTTTACCCTCAGAATTTCATTCGAAACGGTAAAAGTACTTGGAAGAAAATTAAAATAAATCGAAAAAATAATAAGACTTTAACATCCTGTAGCTACGAAACAAAGCAGTATCGGACCTATACAGATATGAAAAATAAATTTTATTTTTCAATGAGGAATCTCCCCACGAGGGATGGCACATGTTTTTGAAACAACCTGTATAATCCGCTATTCTTAATTTGGATGTTCAGCCAACAAGATGCTCTTTTAGTGTTCTTTAATTGTAGAGGACAATGATTGCTTTTTCTCTAACTTTTCACACTTTAACGGAATATGATACACACATTCTATTTTTAATATCAGCTTTTTCAAGTTTTTTGCATTCTCTGGAATGACGTAATTAGTCTGCATGGGGTTATAATAAGTATTGACGGGAGTACTCGATTATTGAAATAACCGACATCGCTCGATTATGAACGAGCGATGCAAGTGACGAGTTACGAGCGACGAACGAGCGATCCTAGATTGAAATAAATTGAAATCCGATTTTAATGTGACATACTCGATACAAAGCCGAGCGAATTTTATACATACATTGCAGGTAGCAAATTTATACGACATTATCCGTTGCGTTACAAAATGTTTCGACCTACACCGACAAGACCTCAAAGTAAACTGAATATGAACTGAATCAAGCGATTACTCGTCGCTCGTCGCTTGCTACTTGCCATTCATCACCGAACAAATATTATTATGTTCTCTGCGCACGCAACTTACTGCTTGGCGTTACGAGTTGCAAGTACAAGCGACAAGCGACGGGCGAAAAACCGTATTTTTAATACGAGCGAAATTTTGCTCGAGCGATCGCTCGATTATTGAAATCCCTTGAAAGTCGAGTACTCGATTATTGAAATTAATCCGTTTTGCCATCACTAATAATAAGTTTAAGTACCTAACTCTAAAAAATATTAGGACTGATAAATTGGCTAAAGGAATAATTTTCCTCTTTAACAAGGCGTTGCTGGTGTTTATGGTGATCCCCACATTGTAACCTTCGACGATTTGGAGTACACGTTTAATGGAAAAGGAGAATTTGTTTTGATAAAGTCCAACGCCAGACTAGATAACATTGAAGTTCAGGGCCGATTTGAACAGATGGATCCTAACCTATATGGTGAAGTTAGAGCGACTCAACTGACATCTGTAGTAGCAAGAGGCAATTCTTCTACTGTGGTAGAAGTTAGGAGAAGACCAGAATACGCAAGGTAGTTATCGAATTATATATTTTTTTCATAATCTTTTTACTTTTATTTAATATCAATGCAATTTATTTATGTATTTTTATAGATGGAGATACAGACTAGATGTTATAACAGATGGAAAAAGGGTTTACTTTGACAGACCGTCCTTAAAATTCCAACATTTTCCTGGTGTGACTGTTTATACCCCGACCTACATTTTGAATCAGTCTGAAGTAATTATGATGTTTGACAATGGTGTTGGAGTAGAAGTTTTAGATAATCAAGGTACTATTTTATACAATCTCTTTCAAATGCGGCTCTCACCATTGTGATATTTACTTATACATCATGTTTTATTTTTTTTGCTGTTGACAGCCTGTAGTGTAAGTTAAGCTTGATTTTCATGCATGCGTTATCCGACGATACGATGACACGATATTAATTTTATTGGTTGAATTTAAAGACTTCGATTGGTTAGGAACGGTTAACCAATCGACGCTTTTAAATTCAACCAGTAAAATTAATATCGTATCATCGTTTCGTCGGACAACGCATGCATCAAAATGTTCGTTATCCGTTGATACGATGGTCGGACGGCGCTCTGATTGGTCATAGCGTTTTCGCGCCACGTTACATCCGTAATTTTTTTACTTCAGCCCGTTTTCGGAGAAAGATCGTACGGTAACGGACGTTTTGACACTTTTTGACAAATTTAATCCAACCTTAATAAAAATACTAGCTTTTTCCCGCGACTACGTTCGCGTTACACCTCGAAGCGTTCATGCCTTGATTTAAATGATTGTTTACCGATAGATAGAGTTAGTAGATACATAGAGCTAGCGTTACAACTTGTAATGCACTATTTAAATTATGATTTTAGCAGTTTTAGAGCTATTCGTATTTCACATGAAAGTTTGTAATTTTCAATTTTCTTGGTATTATACAGGGCGAGTCTTGAACAAGTGCAAATATTTTCAGGGCTGTTAGATTTTGATAAAAAAACACATTTTCTTTTTACCGTTTTTCAATCAACTCCAAAGTAATCCAGTTATTTTACTTTAAACATTTCCAAAAAAATATTTTCTGCTTAAATTTTGAGAACCACTGGATCTTTTTGGGTTTTTCTGTCTGATAAATTTTATCTACTATCTATGTTGCCGTATTATCAAGAAATTATGGATTTTAACTAAAAAATGAAAAAAAAAAACCCTTAATTTTTTCAAAAAATTCCAATTTTTAAAAAAAAATTGTGAAAAAAATCGTGTTGCTGGGGTGATATTCGTGTTTCTGGGGTCAAAATATACTGTCTGTCCAACGACAAGATCCTTGACAGTGATAGATGTGTCTGTCATTTTCATTTCAAAGTAGTTTATTTTATTTTACAAAGAAATAAGTTGGTACAACTGGAACGCATAGCAGGAAATTCATATATTCAAAACTTGACTGATAAGTGATTACTTCAAAATATTGTGAAAAAAAACTGTATAAAACTGAAAAAATGTAATAGAGTTATTTTATTTTAAAAAAATAGTATGTGTTAATACAAAACGAACAAGAACAAAACACCACATACCAAAAAAATATAATAAAGAACTATTTCTTACTTTCAAGCTTCAAGAAACTTCCCGCATTTATTATTAAATTTATAAATATAACTTATATACAAATACAAATTTGTAATATTCCACAGGAATAAATAAAACGACATAAATAAAACAAACTAATTTATTAATAATAACACTTTCCAAATTTTATCCCTTAAAGGTTGATAAATTAACTTTAATCTTAATTTTTTTTAAACCAGTACCTTTTGATATTACTTTTCTGAAGTTAAAATCCATTATTTACCTAACGTGTGATGTCGATATTTTACAGCTACTGCTACTCCAGTTTTTAGTATATGTTTAGTACGATCCTTTGAACCATATACAAGATGCACTTATCTACAACGAGATGGTATACAAACTTTATTGATGGTAACTTTATTGGTGTATAAGACTTTCTGCCTGGGCAGCGAGTATTAACTATAAACTGTGCTCTGGGTCTACAGTTAATTTTCCCTCGATTTTTCCTCCACTTGACTTCAAAAGAAACAAAACACACGTAATAACACGAATCAAAATGCATCATCTTCCAAAACACAGATATTTGACATAAGTTGACACAAAATTATAACCTATAATTTGGCAAGACTTTGACATTAAGTTAAACTTCAAACTTCCCAATTACTACCGGATAATAATTACTTAGTAAGCCTCAAAAATCTAAAGGCGTGTTTATACGCATCGGCGTCCGTTTGTCGTTCATCGTTCCGTCAAACCAATAAAATTGAAATAAAATCTGTCATTTTTGAAATAAACTAATACAACTGGTTAAAAACAACGAGACGATGCACAGGTATGACGGATTTATATTTAAACCCATCCATAGTTAACTTAAAAAATATTAGAAACCTTTTTTAGTAAAATAAATAGATTGGTATGAGACCTCATCTGCTTTTCTTCTGTCATCGTCTGTCGAAATTTTACCTGAGAAAAAAACAGAGTATATTCATAGAATCACCCACCAAAGTTAGATACACTATTTTTTGACACCCTGTATTGCTACTACAGGCTGTCAACACACCGTTTTTCTTGACATTTTGTACTCTTACACATATTTTAATGCCAAAGAGAACGGCGATATTGTAAAATTCCTTAAGAGTCCTGAAAGGGTAATTTCCATTAAGGTGGAGAGTACTTCTTTAATAAATGAAAATAAAACTAGGACTTTTTTATGTAAAAAAGGTGTTCTTCGTTTAGTTCAAAACAGTGAATGGTTTTCAAGATATTTGCGTTAAAGGGTTCTGATGCATCGATTTTCGGTCTTAGACACATTATTTTTTGACACCCTGTATAAAAGTAAGCAAATTGGTGCCACTCAAATGGGACCTTTTTAACAAAATATCTACTGTAAATCCTTAACAATTTGTTTCATTTTGAGTAGAGTTAGTGAACGCCACAAATCTCTATATTTGTTTTCGTTTGGAATACTTTGCACTTTGATAACTTTTTTTTTGTTTTCTGTAGGTTATATGACAGCCAGAGTATATCTGCCATGGTCATTCATTAACAAAACCGCCGGTCTACTTGGAAATTGGAGTTTTAACAAAGAAGACGATTTTACTTTACCCGATGGCTCTAGAGTAAGCGTAGTTTCAAATATCAACGACATGCAGAGAGTATACACCGATTTTGGGTCAAAATGGATGGTAGATGATGTATTAGATTCACAGAAAGGTAACTACATGCTTTTGTATTTTCCGTAAAATTTTTTGATATTCAATAAACCTGAAAGTAGCTTTAAAATTCGGAAAAATAAAACTATGAACAAAATAATTTATTTCAAACTGTACAGGGTCCGGCAATAGTGCGTCGGGCATCTGTAGCTCCTGGAATAAAAAACTTGGAAATTTTGTTGCAAACGTGCAAACCTAAAGTATGTTCTAGGCTATATTTCAGTAAAATATTTTAACTTCTATAGGTGGCTCAAAAAGTGTGAGTGGATCGAGATGATTTTTTTAAAATGAAACACCCTGTATATTATTGTATTTTTGGCTTCCTTTCAGAGCACTTTACATTACAAAAAATATATATTTTCAGCCTTTCTTAAGAAAATATGTATTAAAAATACAAGAACTGTCCTGAAATCAAAACCATGTTACGTATTTACTTTAGATAGTCTCTGTATTTAATTTGCTGGTCGTAATTCATACAGGATGTTCAAAATTCTACGCCAAACTTTCTAAAATATAAAATAAATTTTCTTCGTTTTTTTTTAAATGACACACCCTCTATACTATTTTTTCAGTAAATGGAGAATTAAAAAATGAACATTTTTTTTATTTAGATTATTTCAAAAATTTTAACTAGTTCGCAGATATTCGCAGTTTTATATTTCATATGGCATTTTTCACAGTAACTTTTTATTAGTGATGGGCAAAACTGTTATTTTTAGATAACAGTTGAAACTGTTATAGTTATTTATAAAAAAACAGCTTAAAATAACAGCTTAAAAATAACAGGTTTCTTTATTTTATTGCTAAATATCTGAAAGAGTATGAGGCGGTCACCTACAGGCGTATTAACGCAGTTGCAAGTTGCAACAATGACGTGCTCGGTGGTAGTATTTTCAGGGTGTCATAACATTTCTAAATATCGATTGTTATCTAAAATATTTTTCTAAAAACGGTGGTTGTTTACAAATAAGCGCTGTTTACAAATTGCGATATAAAAAAGCCAAAATGCCGCCACTCGTATATACCTATACATTCCGATCTATCTACGTCCTGTCCCTCGATCCGCGTAGATCCTGAATTGCGTAGCAGTGTACAGGGTGCATCTCACTCGACGGGCGAGATGCTCTTAGTTATGATTTTACCATTTGCTGTCAAAACATAGCAGTTTAAGAAAATGTGTAGTATATTCTTCATCAGTAAACTAACTACACACTAGAGTTCGAATTAAGTTTACACTTAAACTAGCGTGTACCCGCGACTTCGTTCGCGTCGAATTATTAATTTGTAATGGCGAAGATAAAGCAAAGCAAAAATTTCCATTAACATACAAACTGGATAAAATTTTCTCACATTTGCCAAAAATAAGCTTTAAACGTCGAGCAGTTTAAGCAGAATCGTGGTTAATCAATTACTCAACTTTTTGGAACACCCTGTATGATTTTTTAAAAAATTTCAAAATATGTAAAAAAACAAAATAAATTATGCGTGTCCAAGTGTTTTCCCGACTAACCGTTTTTTAAATAACAAATATTGTAATATTTGAGGGGCGTTTTCTCCCTCTTGGAACTTGAGATTCCAGAAACCCCTCCTTATCGAACCTCTACACCCCAAAAAGCCAAAATTCAGCTTTAAACGTCAAGCAGTTTAAGCAGAATCATGATTACTCAATGGTCATATTTTATGAAACACCCTGTATATATTTTTTAAAAATCTTAAAATATGTAAAACAACAAAATAAAATATACGTGTTTAAGAGTTTTTTCGAAAAACTCACCAGTTTTGAAATAAAAAATATTCTAATATTTGAGGGTGGTTTCACCCCCTTAGAATTTGAGTTTCGAAAAATCCCTTCTTATCGAACCTCTACACCCTAAAGTCAATCCGTTTTCCAAAAATCCTCTTTTTAGGTCAAACTCTTTAAGCAGGATCGTGATTAATCTATGACCAGGTTTTTCAAAACACCCTGTATACATTTTTAAAAAATCTTAAAATATTATTCTGAAAATTTTTCAGAATAAATAAATACCTAAATATTGAAACTTAATAACCAAGTACTGAACCATACAGCGCCATAATATCTCGACCTCCGCCCGTCATGCCTGTAACAGGTTAAAAAACAACGTAGCTAAAACAACTGATGCGTTATTCTCCAACCCGTTGCGAGCCTCCATCGACAATCGACCGATGCAGCAGCGTTACTTTCCCACTCTTGTTATCTCGACCGCCAAGCGTTATGCCCGCAACTGTTTCAAAAAAGCTGCTTCTTTTATATCCCATTATTTTTAAGCTGTTGTAAGCCCAACACGCCGCGCCGCGCCGTCGGGCATACCCACTCCGTTGTCCGTTGTATCTCGCCGCCTGTATCGATGGTTGTCGAAATAACATGTTTTCCATTCATACTAGTTGTGTTTTGGAATTGCTTCGAGCAGCATCGAATTTCGTGGCGGTGCAGAGCGCCGACTTCGTTTCACGAACAGTCGATCTCTTCGTGTCGTTATTTTATATCTGTTATTTTTTAAAAGTAGTAGCGGTTGCGTTATGTTATTTCTAAATAATTGTTATAAAATAACAGATAGTTAAATAACAACCCATCTCTACTTTTTATCAAAGCCACCCAATTATTTTTCTCTCGTATTTGACCGTTGAAAGAGCCATATGAAATAATACTTCGTGTATCTGCGAAACCATTAAAATTTTTAAAATACTTTGTTCGTTTTTTAATTTTCCATCTAAGAAAAAAATAATATACAGGGTGTTTCTTAAAAAAAACAAAGAAAAATTATTTTATATTTTAGAAAGTTTGGCGTAGAATTTTTAAACACCTTGTATGATTTGAGATTACTACATTTATAGCAAAGTAAGTATAGACCATGTAAAGTAAATATCTAATATAGTTTTGAGTTCAGCACCGGTTCTTGTACTTGTAATAATTGATACAATAAACAAAATTGAAAATTCAGTTTTCTTTCGAATATATTCGGAAGTATTCGGAATTTTTCAAAATGCAATACGGCATTTTATTGAGCATCGCAACTTTGCCTCCATTTATCCGATCCTGTATCTCTTACGGTTTCCGAAATCCCAATGATGAGCGTCGAATTCGAGCCACCCTGTACAGGGTGGTCGAAATTAGTCTGTTTTAACAGAGAAACCATATTTCTTGACTAGATAGAGCAAAACCGACATAGATGTCATGGGCTCAATTTCTGAGATACGTTTAATGGTGTAAACCGCCTGTTGATATTTTCACTGCCAAAAGAGATACGGTGTCTTTTTGAATTTTTTACCATTTTGAAAATTGCCCATAACTTTTTTATTTCGCGGAATAATAAAATTCAGTAAAAACGTTCTTAAGGCACTATTTTAAGCACAATCCAGTGGCGTAGTCAGTTTTTTTCTATGCTTGCTCTTTTTGTCAGAAATAATAAAAAATATAATTTTTTAAATGGAAATCGTAGTTGGCTATGAACTTAAAAAAATACTGGCGTTTAACCCTTTCCAATGATATAATTTTATGTGTATCTATTTCTAAGAATGAGAGAAATATTAGGGTTATTATCTTTATATCGAAGCGGGCTTTGATTTTGAGTTGACCTATTTGCCCAATTATTTTTTATCACAATTTAATATTCTTTGTTATTATTTATCTGCATAATTAAAGACTTTTCAAAAGGTAAATTAACATTCTATTATTATTAGTAATAGTAATTATTAGTATTAGTAATTACAACTGAAATCGATACAATAAACAAAGAACAAACCTAAAAAACGTATTTCTTGAGTGACGAGTATAGTTCTCTCTCTTAAAAAATCAAAGATGTTCAAATTGAGCATCTCCTTGTTGAATACACAATAAACATCTTTTGCGCACAGAGTTACAACGATTTATTAGGCGAACTTGTTTAATAAGTCAAAAGCTTGCCTAGTAGCCTTCTGCAATTCCTTCTGTCGTCCCAATGGTTCTTCCCTTATATATAAGGTATTTTAATTTCCCCCATAAAAATGTCGAAAGAAGTTAAATCACAGGACCTAGTAGGCCAAGATATGGGCCCCTTATTCCAACCCAATTCTCTCTAAATTCTCCATTTAATAGTTCAGTTGTAACCCTGGCGTTTTAATTGTAATTGGTAATACTAATACAGAATGTTGATTTACCTTTTGAAAATTGTTTAATTATGCAGATAAATAATGATATAGAATATTAAATTGTGATAAAAAATAATAATTAGGCAACTAGGTCAACACAAATCAAGGCCCGCTTCAATACAAAGGTAAAAAACCTAATATTTCTCCCATTCTTAGAAATAAATACACATAACTTTATATCGTTGGAAAGGGTTAAACGCCAGCATTTTTTTAAGTTCATAGCCAAGTATGATGTCCATTTAAAAAATTATATTTTTTATTATTTCTGACAAAAAGAGCATGTATAGAAAAACACTGACTACGCCACTGGATTGTGCTTAACAAAGTACGTTAAGAACGTTTTTACAGAATTTTATTATTCCGCGAAATACAAAAGTTATGGGCAATTTTCTAAATGGTAAAAAATTCAAAAGGACGCCGTATCTCAGTTGGCAGTGAAAATATCAACAGGCGGTTTACGCCATTAAACGTGTCTCAGAAATCGAGCCTATGACATCTATGTCGGTTTTGCTCTATCTAGGCAGGAAATAGGTTTTCTCTGTCAAAACAGACCAATTTCGACCACCCTGTACATGCAAAATATAAAAGACGCATCATCGGTAAACATCTTACTCATGCTGTAAAAGTCTTTGGTAAAAGTGGATTTACCGGATTTACGAGGTAAATAAATATTTGTATTTTATTATAGGCAGAGCACTATTCCTTCGAGAAAATGGCTTGACTTCCTCAAACTACAACAATCGTTCCTTCGTGCCAGTGTTTGTTATGACTCCAGAAGAAATTATACCGGCAAACAGATCCGAACAAATTACGCGAACCTACGACGTGTGCAGCACAAAAATGTACGAATGTTACTACGATTACGCAATGACTCTGAACAGAGACCTGGCCCACTACACCCAAAACTACAAGGCTACGATATATCAGCTTAAGGAGGTTTCTAGAACCAAGGTAATTTTATTTATTACTCTTTATGTCCTACTAGCGTGTACCCGCGACTTGATCGTTTTTTAAATAAAAATATTGTAATATTTGAGGGGTGCAATTTCCTGTCCACAATGTACCGTTTGTGTCCAGGAAGGGTTCATAGATGTCGATTTTCGAAAGAAATCAGAACATGTATATTATTTCGTATATTTTTCATTTTATTGATTTTATGGAAAGCACTGTTCATTAAAATGTTGTATCCTATGTTATAGGGCTTGTTTCTCTGTACAATTTCCTGTCTCACAATGTACCGTTTTGTGTCCAGGAAGGGGTCATATTTTATATATGTCGATTTTCGAAAGAAATCGGTACATTTATTTTATTTCGTATATTTTTTCATTTATTGATTTTATGGAAAGCACTGTTCATTAAAATGTTGTATCCTATGTTATAGGGCTTGTTTCTCTCTACAATTTCCTGTCTCACAATGTACCGTTTGTGTCCAGGAAGGGTTCATAGCTTCATAGATGTCGATTTTAGAAAGAAATCAGAACATGTATATTATTTCGTATATTTTTCATTTTATTGATTTTATGGAAAGCACTGTTCATTAAAATGTTGTATCCTATGTTATAGGGCTTGTTTCTCTCTACAATTTCCTGTCTCACAATGTACCGTTTGTGTCCAGGAAGGGTTCATATTTTCATAGATGTCGATTTTCGAAAGAAATTGGTACATTTATTTTATTTCGTATATTTTTCATTTTATTGATTTTATGGAAAGCACTGTTCATTAAAATGTTGTATCCTATGTTATAGGGCTTGTTTCTCTCTATAATTTCCTGTCTCACAATGAATCGTTTGTGTCCAGGATAGGTTCATATTTTCATAGATGTCGATTTTCGAAAGAAATTGGTACATTTACTTTATTTCGTATATTTTTCATTTTATTGATTTTATGGAAAGCACTGTTCATTAAAATGTTGTATCCTATGTTATAGGGCTTATTTCTCTCTATAATTTCCTGTCTCACAATGTACCGTTTGTGTCCAGGAAGGGTTCATATTTTCATAGTTGTCGATTTTCGAAAGTATTTTATTTCGTATATTTTTCATTTTATTGATTTTGTGGAAAGCACTCTACAATTTCCTACACTCTACATGTTTTTAGTAGTTTAATTAAGAATGTCATTGGAAACGACTATTTTTTTTATCAGGTGGTGTCTTGTGGCATCTTAGAGACGCCTAGGTTCGGAAGAAAGAGCACATTCTTGTTTGTTCCCGGCACCAAAGTGACCTACGAGTGTAACCAAGACTTCGTTCTTGTGGGCGATCCAAGGAGAACGTGTTTAGCTACAGGCCAATGGGACACGCCCGAATATGGTTACACTTACTGTCTACGTGAGTATTCTCATGAATATATACTATACTTTAATATTAATTAATCTATTTTATTAAAAAGTTTGTAAATGTAAAAATGTATAAAAAGTGTTTAAGAAACATACATAGTGTTTAAACAGCATACAAATGTCAGCTTCTGTCTTTAGAGAAGAAATAGGTATATCTTGTCATAATATACCGGGTGCGTCTCAAAAGTGGCTCACCCTTATAACTTTTTTATTTTTTTAGTTAAAAACCAAACCAAAAACGAAATTTGGTATGTTAGTATATGACATAAATTTGAGTTGATTGACGTATTCAATTGTTTCGGTCACTTCCGGTTTCACCGGAAATGACTACAACTTTTGATTTTTAAATGGTACCCCGGTATTTTTTTACTTTGTTCGATAGCAAATGTCACTCTGAATAGAATGACACATCATATATCAACTTTTGACATTTTCGCATATGGTTTATTTGAAATTATAACTTGCGGTTCGTAACGAAAATTTGAGTTGAAATACCAAGTGTGTGATATCAAATTATTCGTAAAAAAATGCTTTTTCCAAACATGAGCCACCCTCGTTCCATTTGAAAAAATTGAGTTATGATTAGAAATACGAGTTGAGAATTTTCCAACTGGCCAGGACAAGACACTAAAAACATAAGACGATCAAATCTTTTTTCCAAGGCTCCTTGGTGAAGAATTAGTGCTTTTTAACATAGCAATGGCACTCTAGATTGAAATTTAAAATTCAATTTTGTTTTAAGCAAAAATGTCAAAAGTTGACATATGATATGTCATTTTATTCAGAATGTCATTTTTTATCGAATAAAGTAAATAAATACCGAGGGTGCCATTTAAAAATCAAAAGTTGTAGCCATTTCCGGCGAAACAGGAAGTGACGGAAAACAATTTAATACGTCAATCAATCTTAATTTATGTCATATACTAACATACCAAATCTCGTTTTTTATCTGAAAAATAAAAAAGTTATAGGGGTGAGCCACTTTTGAGACGCACCCGGTATAGTATACATCAAATTTGAGTTGGAAGCTTTGGAGTTAAAACAGAAAAATTATAAAATTAAATCTTTGGAGAAGAAAATATATTTTTAATATTCTGGATGCGCCTTTTGCTAACTGTTATTTGGAATCATCAGCATCAACAGATGATTACAATTATCGACGTCAATGTTCAGAATGATAAAAATTGTTTAATTGGATTAATTGTGTAATACCATACATAATTATAATGTCATATTGTCTGATTACTTGCTCACGTAATATATACAAAATTACTCTACGTAAGTACATCATTCTAATACATATAATCTGACGTTTTTGAGTGAAATAACTGAGTTCCGCAGACGTCATCGTTATCTATATAGTTTGATTGAAGAGTTTGATTTGAATCTCTGACGATACTATAACTACGTCTTTTTTTATAACATACATTACCAATTTATGATAATTTATGATAAAAATATAAATACAATTTATGATAAAAATAATGATATTACATGAGGTAATTTTTACTTCATGTTACTCTGAAGAAATATTGGGATGCCCAATCTTGGTTTTTGAAAAGATTAAAAAAAAATCATTTTTGGCTTACATTTGTAAAACCACTCACTAGGGAGCATGTTGCTCCCAACACATGCTTCTCAATAGGTTTGTCAACAAAAATCACCCAGCCACACACTCAAGAAACATGTTGCAAAACTTCAGGTGACAAAACGCGAAATTTTGAGGTTAACTATTAACTAGTAGTCTACAACTTCTGCTGCGAACCACACACCTAGGCAACATGCTCAGCTCACGTTGTGGCTTTTTGGTTTTGTCCTGGGAGCCTGCAACTTAGCAACATGTTGACGGACCATCACATACACTTGGAAACTTGTTGACGGCGACTGCGTTCGCCAACATGTTGCGCAACATGCTCCCTAGTGAGTGGCCTGCTTTAAGCATAATAAGCAGACCACTACATGAGTATGTCGGGAAACATGTTGGGGCTAATGGAGTTGTCGCCAACAAGTTTCCTAGTGCAGGATGCTGTTGGTCAACATGTTGCTAAGCTACATAATGGTATGTTAAGCATGTTGACAAGCATATTCCCTAGTAAGCGGCCTGCTTTAATGGCTACCTTTAGAGTTTTCTTACATAATCTTGTTTCAGTGTCCATGTTTCATAGGTCTTGGTCCAATCTATCGACATACCAAATTTCATTTAAATCGGACGATTTTTTGATTTGATTCTTTGATGATGGGGTTTCATAGGGCACGAAACGTCTTCAAAATATCATGAAAAGATGGGGCTTTTTGAGTTCCATCAACGTTCTGAGTTTCAGCCTTCTAGTTCACATAGGGTCCGAGTTACGACGCTCCACTTACTTTACTTTTTCGTATCCGGACCATATAGGTACATAATGTACAATTATAATTTAAAATTCTTTAGCCCAGTACCGGGCGACGTCTAGAGCATTTTCATCGGCGTTCCATAAATTTTCAAGGGTACATGTATGAGCGCATCTTATGCATGACAGCAGATGCTCCATATTTTGGATTTTGCCGCATTCACATTTTGTGTCTTCGTCCGTGATAAGTCCCCATTTCGCTTTGTTGGTTTTAACAGCTATTCCTGTTCTGATGTGGTTTAGGGACTTCTACGTGACCCAATCAAGATGTTGGTCTGCAGAATCTTCTTCTTTAAGAGGATAATCAAGCGGTGGATCTTCTTGAACAGTTTTTAAAAAGTTTTTCCGAGATCGGAGTCTGCTTGATCCTTGGAACTCGCCAAAAAGTGGATGGCGCTCGTCGAACATCTGTTTAAACTTTTCAGTGCGCTCAGCCGCTTTGCGGCGCTGTGAGGGAGCTGCAAATTCGGAAGCTCTGTAAAGTTGGGATAAGTTTGTTGCTTTCATACACCCTGTTGTTATTCGGCACGTTTCATTTAAAGCAATATTAACTTGACCTATTTCATACAGGACAGGCATATTCTCCCGTGGAAAAACATAAAGTCCGTGCAGTTGTTTTTAAGACAGATGGATTTGCGCCCCACTTGCTTCCAGTTAGCCTTCGTAAAATGTTATTTCTAGCGCTGACTTTCTGGCGAGTTTTCTGACAGTGATACCTATATGTTAAGGTCCTGTCTAGTATCACTCCGAGATACTTCGGCTTTTCTGTATGCTCCAGTAAGCTACCTCTCCACAAGATATTAAGTTTTGTTGCAGCGCCTCTATTGGCGTAGGTGGAAAGCGGAAACCTGCGTCTTGGTTGGGTTTGATTTGGTCTGGTCGTAGTAACTAGCCATTGTGTTAAGTGCACCTTCCAGTTTTTGTTCGACGCTGTGAAAGCTGGTATCTTGTACAGCTATTGCCAGGTCGTCAGCATAGTAGATTTTGTGGCTGTCGGTGCATCCTTGAAACAATTTCAAAACCCACATTTTTGTTGCTGGGCGGAATTTATTAATCTGCTCGGTACACAAATCGTCTACGCCTGCTGCCTTCCCGTTTTTCATATTATTTAAAGCGTAATTGAGTTCTTTTAAAATGTAGGGATTCTCCAGGATGTTAATCTTGTTTGTTCGATCTCTCCCTAATCTTGGTATTCTAGTTTTTTTTTCGGGCTTTCCATTCTTCAGCAGCTGGTGGGCAATCTGGTTAGGTTTGATGTTACCGATTTGTCTCCTTTCAATTGGATCGCCATCAAGTTTTTTTTAGGAAATTCCATGCGATCTTACTACTGTGAGTCATATCAATTTGCTCTATCTTGTCTATCCATCTTTGCTGTCTGGAATTACTCAGTTCTTGCATTAACATTGAGCCACATTCTAGCGTGTCTACACTAAAAGGATCCTTCTCAAAGAGTTTTTTGTACCTGGACGACGCTCCAAAGACTCATTAAATCGGACGATTTTTTTGCCATTGATGATGGGGTTTTCTACTGCACGAAACGTCGTCTAAATATCATGAAATTACGAGTTTCAGACCCCTAGCTCACAAAGAGCCCGAGTTACGACCCTCCAAGATCGATATCATTGTTGTGACGCTTGGCGACCTTCGCGTAACGCTAGCTCGTGTGTCGCGGCCTTGAATTTTTACTCACATCACGCGTAAAGAAGTTTCGCTTCAGAAAGGTCAGATTAAAAAACGTACGTCAAAGCATTAATAAAAAATGTTAATAATAAAACGGATAGATTTAAGTAACGCGTTTAATAGCATTCCACATCCATTAAACCAATTTCTTTCTATTAGGTCAACAAGAATATTCTCAACGCAACGCAGCCATAACCTCAGGAATAATTTTTGCAGTACTCATACCCTTAGTCTTAGTCATAGTGTTTATCGCCTTTAAGGTATATCAAAAGTACATGAATTCGGACGATAGTTCCTGGCAATACGCCCAGAAACCCGCGCTGGCAGCAAGAAGCTTCAGTCCCACCGAGTCCAACAAGAGTCCACTGAGTGACACTTCGACAAGTAGCGTATTTAAACCGCGCATAATGTACGATAAGAGCTATCGCACTCACGAGCCCCTTGTTGGACTCCCTGAAACCGAGTTTGAGTCGAAACAGGTCGATCCTAACGATGTGGGTTACGAAATCGACAGGAAGTCGCTGAGTAGTCCGAATATTCCTGTCAGTCCTACTCCCAGTTCGGTTTCATACACCATGCCGTACCAACAAAAGCCCGATATAGTAAATTATGGTAGCAAACCAAAGTTAGATTACGGTTCTGATGATTATGCCCAACCTTATAAACCCACCAGTAGTTCCTCTGATCCAGCAAGTCCTACTACTGGAAAATTGTCACCCATCACTTATAGAGACAGGGTTGCTAGTAGAAGCAGTGTAATTACTGATGTTTAAAACATTTTTTTTTCCTGAACTTTTGATATATCTTTAAAGCTTGATTACAAACGAATAAAGAAAAGATAACAGCATGTAGTAATTATATTAAAAATGCTTGTTTAACAGAGTTCTCGTGTTATAAAATTTTTAAGGGTCAGAGAATTTTTTAGATAGTACAAGGTGTCTAATTTTTATGGAGTGTTACAGGATTTCTAGTTTATGGGTAGATGTACATACAGAGATCCTCTTTGCACTTTACTGTGCTACATTTTTATGAACCTTAAAGGTACGCGCACAATGACTTTTTTTCTTGTCGCGCACACTGAGCCGAACCGAACGCGCCGCATTAAGGAGGGCGCGCACTGAATGGGTATCGGCGCGAGCGAGCGGAGCGGCACGTAATCTTCAGTTTACGTTGAAATAGATGTAAGCCCGCGCACTGCATTAGATCGGTGCGCTTCGAGCTATCGGCGCCATTCGAGCTATCGGCGCCATTTGAGCTATCGGCGCCATCAGGCGAAATCAGAGAATGCATGGGAGGGGGACGAATAGTTTACGCCGAGCGACTGTTTTTAGTGGAGCGGTTTTACATTAAACATTTCCGATGAATTATTAATCGAAAGTGTGCGAGACCATAAAAAATTCTTACAAGCACGTAACCCATATTGTTTAATACACTTATTCTATTCTAATAGTTGAAATAAAATATTTGTACATATATCTACCGTATGATAAAAAACGGCGTCAAGTTGGATGGGAAATGACGATTGATGACATTTCCCATATAAATTTACATATAAAATAACACCGACCTTCATTTCATGGCCATCGCTGATGCCGTTTCTTTTCGATCATACGGTACTATAAAATAAAAACTATATATTTTTTTCTTTTTTTAATTTTCTTTGACTTTTTTATTATATTTTAAGGTTTTAAAATCTTGGTTTTAAGTCAGTAGTGAATAAAACGAAACTTGTTTAATGATTGACGTTTCGACAAATTTTAATTCGGTCTTCTTCAGAATGTATAATATACAATACAATTTTATCACTAACAATGTGTTTAATATCTATTTTTTTCTTACCACAAACGTAGAAAATTATTTATACGTATATTATAAATTCTGAAGAAGACCGAATTAAAATTGGTCAAAACGTCAATCATTAAACAAAATGTAAACACAAGTTTCGTTTTATTTACTACTGACTTAAAAAACAAAGATTTTAAAAACTTAAAATAAAAAAAGTTATATATAAATGTTTGTAATGACACTTATTTAGATTAAAAAACTAAAAATAGAAGTTTTATTTGACTATTTTTCATATCTAGCTTTGTTTTTAAAGAACATATTAAACCCTTTTGAATTATACCAAATTTGTTAAAATCGGTCAAGCTAAGAGTCATGTAGTATATTTTATCCCCATCTTCCACTCTATTTCACTAATTTTATGTGGTTATTAAATATATTAATGTGTGTTTGGTTAAGATCTAAATAATATTAATTTCCATCATAAAGCATAAAATATAAAAAGTTGCATAAAATATAAATAGTAATAATACTTTATAATTTTTTGAAATGCCGAATGAATTTGACTAAATGTGAATAAACTTCTCCTCGTCTATGCTCAAATTTATGCTGGTGACGTACTCTCGATCGTCGATCGTGCGACTCCAGTGCGCGGCTACAATCGACTTTCCGACCGGTCGTGCCGCTCGCACCGCTCGCTCTCGCCGATACCCCTTCAGTGCGCGCGGAGCTTTATTCGTTATTTTGTTTCTTTCTGCCCCTACTACCAGGGTTCGGAAAACTACATGTTGCTTTTAAAAACTACATAAACTACATTACATGTAGTTAATGTAGTTTATGTAACGTATGTATGTAACTTTCAAATATCAAAGGTTTGAGGTGAGGTTATAATAAGTTGAAGCTTTAAAAACACATAATTTATTTAAGAAAACAGAAGAAATATGGCTTTAAATATAATATTTACATCAAATTATCTCTACTACACCTCATACAAATGAAAATTATTCATAATATCAATACATAGTTTATTAATGTAGTTTTCATGTAGTTAATGAACGGGAAAATACGTAGTTTTTCAAGAAAAACTACACGTAGTTAATCATGTAAATTACGTCTTAAATAACTATTTCCGAACCCTGCCTGCTACACCCGTATTTGCCAATCGAATTTCTCATCAGTCGCTTCCAGAGTCCTGTCTGCGGTGATAAGCGTGTTACGGCGTGTTGCGGTGATAAGCGTGATATACAGGGCGAGATTGAAAATATTGTATTTTTCGATCCCTTCGTATCTTGGTTATCTTATAACTTATGGAAAAGGTGAAAACTTGATCCCATAGAATTTTTCACGTAGAATTCAGTAGCGTAACTAGATTTTTGCTGCGAATTAGTTATTCTTGAAATATGACCCAAACTTATGTTTTTTTAATGGGATACCCCTGCATATGAAGCATTTTTATTTGATTTGACTTGTTATCAGCTATTTTAAAATAACTCTATACTTATTTTCATAAACAAGGTAAAATGCCTTATTTAACTTTCTAACATAGGCCAGGGTGTCCCAAAAACATTGGTGTCCCAAAATTAAGTTTTAGTCGTATTTTGAAACCCTCAGAAATGAACAAAATGACAGCTCCCAGCGAAGACTAGTTCTTGACTACGTCACTGGTTTCTACGTAAAATACAAGCAAAATTACCTGTTTAAATTAAATGAATTAAAATGACAACGCCCTTTTAACATAGAGTTAAAAATTAAAACCTTTTAGCTAGGTTTATTTACGTGAAAAAGTTAGAAACTGCATATTTTTACGTAGTTTATAAACAGAAGTATACCATATATTTTATTTTTAAAAAGCTCATGACAAAGGAAAAAATAACATACAGGATGTCCCATTTAAAAAAAGTTTTAGTCATATTTTGAAACTAACAGCTCTCAGTGAAGAACTACTTACATATGTGACTGGTTTCTACGTAAAATACTCTATGAGGCTCAATTTTCATCTTTTCAATAAGTTATAAGATTACTAAGATACGGAGGTAGTCGATCAGTGCAACATTTTTAAAATCGCCCAGTATTTCAAAAATCAAGGAAGCTAGGACAAATCTGTGTGTAGCATCTTTAGTGTCATAAAAAAGTAGTACAGTGATTTGAAAACCGCATCTTTGTATATCTACTTATAAAATGAGAAACCCCATAACACACACAAATATGGGATACCCTGTATATTCAATTCCTACTTTTAACTTTGAATATTGTGTTTTATTCATGATTTAATACGCTGAACTGTATTTTTTAACTCCTTTCAAACTGTATGAATTATAAATTAGACCAACATAAAAGATACTCTAAAAAGGTTCAAAATTTTACCCCACACTTCAATGTGATCGATTTTTTAGATATTGGTGGTGGTCCAAATGGTATTCCTGAAACCGCAAGATGTGCTACAGATAAAAATAAGTCAAAAGTTCGTATAAATGTATGTCCCTCGAATGCTTAGTTTCGGAGGGGTGTAGAAGTTTCATTTTTTATTTCATTTTGTTCTAAATCATTTCTGAAGTAACGTCCATATTTGGATGAAAATTGCAGCCTGGGAGTTTTTTTTGACATGAGAAATTTTATTTGATGTCAATATGACTCTACTTGTATAGGGCGCCACCTACGTGTATTTTTACCAGTTTTGAAGTGTAATATTGTCCGTACTGTATGAAACAACTGTGTGAAAAATATACACTTTCATGATTTCTACGTTAAAAATGTCCTCTTGGTAAAAATCGTTACGAGCAACCGTTCTCAAGATATTTAGAATGGAAATAGTCAATGTCATTATTGACTGACAAAAATAAACTCGTTGAGTAGATAGTCATTTGACTGAAACAATATATTTGTGAAATTTTTATTTTTTTAAATTAATCATAAATATTTCTGCGAAAAAATGATATGATAAACCAGTTTTTGTTGAACTTTTGGCACAAAAACATTTCAAATTTATGATTTCAGTCTAATAACTATTTAGTCAACATGTTTAATTTATGTCAATGACAGGTATTGATAATTACGACTCCAAATATCTCGAGAACAACAACGTAGCGATTTTACCAAGGGGACCTTTTTACGTAAAAAAAGTCGTAAATGTATATTTTTACTCAGTAGTTTTATACAGGTGTCGGATGAAAAGTTATTACTCTTCAAACAGTTAAAATACATGTAGGTGGCGCCCCCTACAAATAGGAGTCATGTTGATATGAAAATCAAATTCCTCATGTCAAAAAACTTCTATGCACCAATTTTCATCGAAATATGGACGTTACTTCATAAATTATTTGGAAAAAATCGAAATAAAAATGAAAATTCTACACCCTGAATCTCCGAAACTAAGCATTTTAGGACATACATTTATACGAACTTTTTTATTTATTTTTATCTGCAGAATATGCTGCCAGTTCTGCTGAAAGTTTCCGGAATACAGTTCGGACCACCCTGTATATGGTGCTTCAAAAAACATTTTAAGTTTATCGGTAATATCGCACACCGTCTTTGAATAAGGTATAGGTTTTTCAGAATGTTCTAAAAAAACTGCTTGTGGGTTATCATTTGGGGGGATTTCAGACACACAAAACACCCACTCTTTAAATCGCAGCAGCTTCTTAAACAACTTTTTTTCAAAAAAAAATTTTATTTTTATTTTCGTATATTGTATTTATTATTAAACAGTGTGTTTTTAATATTATAAGATAATATATTAAATTCTAACTATATTGAAAAATTAACTAAAGGAAAAGATCCCAAAAATCGAATTTCCGCAGAATTTTACCCTTATAGTTATAACCTGCTGGAGGAAAAATCCAGAACTGCTTTTAATAAATGCTGCCCATATCGCTTATCATGGATAGTGTATCTCAGCTTGTACTTATTCCACGTTTTTAAAAATTCACGATGTACGGACTCACCAGCCTGTTCTGACCATAATCTTATTATGGTCAGAACAGGCTAATAGAATATCCCAGCAACAGTTTGCGTTAGTCAGTTGTATATACCTTAATTTCAAATTGTCAATGTTTTTAACTTGGACAGAAAAACAGTTATTGACAATTCTGTTCATAATATTGGATAAGTTGGATATATATTTTATCAATATTTCCCAAAACTTCCGGGAAGTTAAGTTTATCTGCATTTTGAAGCAGCTTTCGACATGCATTACCTTCAAAAATCTCTCCTTGATAGTTTTTAGGCAC